GGATGCGCGGCGTGTGCGCGCGGGCGCGCAACAGCTACTCTGCTGAGCGGCTCAAGTCGGACTTCAGGGACGGCCTGGCGGAGGTGGGGGTGGGGTGAGAGAGGAGGGGCAGGGATCAGACAGACAAGAGGGGTTTAGGCCTGCAGGGTCGTGTGAGTGTTGAGGGGCCGGATGATAGCATGCATGCTGAGCGCGGCGCGCAGCCGCAAATCACAGTCTCGGTGGGCGCGGCGTGCAACTCTGATGTAGTCCCTGCGGGCACGTTTTGGATCTGTGCATTTCGTGCCATGCAGTTGAGCGAGTATGGATAGCTCAATGCAGCGCCCACTTGCACTCCCAGCACACCAGCTCATGTCCCACCCGCCACACGTCGACGTTCCGACGCCGTGCACGCCCCCCTCCCTCAACCACCAGATGCACGACGCGGCCCGCGACCAGGAGGCGGGCACACCACGGGGCGGCGAGCTGGATCTGCCGGTCTTCACGGTATCGGCGTCGGACTGCCAGAAGCTGGAGAGGCGCCGCAGCCGCGACGGCCAGCCGCACACCTTCACGCACCTGCGGGACACCGGGGTGTGCGCCCTGCGCGGCCGCGCAACCGCCAGTTGCAGTTCGTGCTGCTGGACCCTGCCAATTGCGTTCGGTGGCGCGGCCTAGCCCGAGCGAGTGCATGTGCCTGGCGGCCGCGGGGCCTTGTTACAGCACACACCTGCATCACCCTGACATAAACACAAAGATTCGGCAAACGCTGGTCAGCCTCTCAGGCACCTGACTCCAACCTGTTTCACCCATCTATCGTCGCCAGCCCCCACTCCAACCCTACCACGTACCCCAAAAACAGATGCCCGAGCTGCGGGACCACGTGCGGCAGATCGCCGCCCGCGGCCGCGCGGCGGCGCTCAAGGCGCTGGCCGGCAAGCTCAGCCACTTTGTGGTGTCCGCGGGGCGCGCGCTGCTGAACCAGGCGCGCGGGGCGCGGCCAGGGTACTTGCACGGGTGTGGCCGGGCGCGCTCAGCCGTCCTGTCCCCCCACAGATTACGGGCAACGGTTGACCAAGAACCAGCGGCGCGGCGGGGCGCTGCTGCTCCATGCATGGGACTTGCTTTGTTTTTTCTGGGGCTGGGAGGCCGCACACCGCCATGACTTTTGTACTCCTCGACCAGGCAGACGGGGGCTGCCTTGTTCAATGCCTTGTCACCGCCCGTCCCGTCCGCAGGGCCAGGTGACTGAGGAGCTGGGCCCCGCCATACAGGAGGCCTACGAGTCCACGCAGGCCGGCCTCAAGTTCCATGTGAGTGCCGCGCGCGTGGCCTGCATGGGGCTGGCGCCACCGGGGGCGGCGCTGTGCACCAGCCCGCGCCAGACAGCTCTGCACACTCCGCCAGGACCCAACATTCTGACCTTCCATTTCGTCCCCGATTCGGCCCCTATTGCGCCTTGCGAGGGCCATCGCTGCCGTCGCCCGGGCCGACCGACCGGCCGGCCTGGCCTGCATGCAGGCGCTCTGCGCGGAAGCTGCCCCGCAGGGCCGCCGCGTCACGGCACCGGCGCACCTCCACCTTCCGATCCCTCCTGCCTCCGATCACCGCAGCTGGACTGCCATGTACGCGCCTGGGCAATGAAGCTGGAGGCCAGCTGGCTCTATCAGGGGCTCACGCCACGGCTTAAGACAGGGGCAGGTGCGCGCCCTGCCTCAAATGCCGCCTGTCTTTTGGGTGCCCCGCCCCGCTTTTTCGTGCGTGCCTCTGGCCCGACGCCCCTTCCTTCCTGCAGCCCACGTCTACACAACTAGGGCGCTGACGGATCGTCAACCCCAAACCTGCCCCCGCCTGGACCCGCCCGCAGCGCAAGCTGACCGTAAGGCGCCCACCAAGGTCGTTGCGTGGCGCAGCAGCAGCGGCAATAAGGGCTGCGGGCTCTACTACATGACGTGAGCCGCGCGTGCTAATAGCGGACTCAGTAGGCTCTTGCTGACGCCAGCCGCTGCCCTACAAGATGTGTACGCTGCAGCTTGCCCCGGCCGCTTGCCCTCTGCTAGTCCTTGAAGCATCAATCTGCTTGTCAGGGCCATGGCCCTCCTTGGCAAGCTATTGTCACCATTTCGCCCTGCCAATGTGCATGCCTCCCGATCCATCTGGTCAAACGGCGTGTGTGCGCGCAGCTACAAGGCCGTAGTGCGGCGCAACGGCGGGCCCTACGTGTCGCCCAGCGCCGGCGAGGTGAGCCACGGCTGCAGCACCACCCACGAGGGGCTTGTCGCCTGGATTAGCGTGCTCCGCTGCCGCAACCGGCGCTCCAAAGCATCTGGCGGCCGCCCGGACCCCATGCCAAAGACGACGCAACTTCACCAATAGCCCATGCTCGCGTCAGCACATTATGCGGCCCCTCCTGCGGCCCCCATTGCCCCTCCCTGCCTCACAACATCGCACCTCTCCACCCCCCCCCCCCTCGCCCCGTCCATTCGCCCCAGATCAACTTCAACGGCGATCTGGTGGAACCCATCCTCGAGGCATGCGCCGTGATCTGGGACGCCACCTTCAACCAGGGTGGGTAGTGCCTGATAATCGACCCTCGCACCCACCCATAGCCAGGTTGTTTCACGGGCATGGCATGCAAGGTTTGTGCTGAAGGTGCGACACCGTGAGCATTGGCCGGTCTTGGGCGCTAATCGCCGTTGTCCCGCCTGCCGAGGTTGCGGGCCTGGGATATCCCCATGGGCCCATGTCAGCGCCTGCGCATCTCGATTGCCCTGCAGGCACGGAGAATCTGCTGTCGGAATTCTCAACGCGCGCTACGAACATTCTCAGGAGGATGCTGGCGGGATTTGAGTGAGAACCCCATCACGGCTGCGCCAACCACACTCAAAACCAGGCCGCCTTCGGCCGCTTTGTTTCCCCCATTCCAACATTGAAGCGGGGGCTGCTGCTCACGTTGTTATTGTTACCAGCAGCCCCAGGTGCGAAATGCACTGCCAAAAGCATGGCTCCACAGCATACCGCCCGTACGGCAAGCACCCGCCCCTTCAAACCCCTCATCGCCTCCCGCCGGCGGGCGCTCCCCCTCACCTGCCGTTTTGCCGCAGGCAGTCCGTGGTCAAACTTGGCCTAGAGGCAGGCCCCATTGCGGCAATGGTGGAGCAGGTGGCGCGCAACGAGCAGCGGCGGCTGGAGGGCACGATTGAGAAGGTGGGCTGCTGGGGCCTCGGGCGGTGCGGAGGGGCGTGGCGTGGGTTGGGCCTGCACAGGTCCAGCTGAGCTGCTTCAAAGTTGTATGGTCTGGGAAGGGTGCGGTATGCCCTGTCTGGCTGAGTGGGGTTGGGCGACGCCCGAGCTTGCGACATTTGCAAGGGGCTTTGGGGTGGGGCCAACGTGGTGCGGGCGCAGGGCCGTGAACCAGCAGGGCGCCGGCACGCCGACGGCGGAAGCAGCGCCGTGCCCGACACGCCCTGCGCCCTCATGCCGCCCGACACGGCCTCAGGCGCCTGGCCGATGACACTCGCATTGGAACCAGCAAGTATAGTGCGGCCGTGCGCCTGTTGCGTCCACGCGCCGACCGCGACCCAGCCTATTGCTGGGGCCAGGTTGCCATGCCTCAACCCCCCCTGCCGACACCCGAAACCGCCAGGTGGTGGCCCTGGTGGAGGACCGCCAGAAGAGCCTCTCACGCAGCGTGCTGGAGGGAGAGGTGGGGGCGGGGGAGGGGGAGGTATCCAAACCTATCATGGGGTAAGGCCATGGTTGCGCCTGCAACCATCGCAGGTTCCCCCCGGCGCCGTGGCAGCGGCGGGTCGCCGGGCTGGCGAGAAGCAGCGGGGCCTGTGGGGCGGAACCCAGC